AAGGGTATTTCACTATATGATAAAATTGTACAGAGTATACACTCAAGTATTTTTCTCTCTCTTGGTGTTTCCCACTCCCCCAGGATATGATCACAATCCTGATAAACTCATTATTTTTATCACTCAATGTACTCTCTCTATGGAGCACACTCACACCTAATCTTAATGCCTAGCTCTCACCCTTTTTTTCTTTTCCCCGGAGCCCTTTTTTTTTGCTCACTTTGGTGCTGCACTCTTTGCTTCTTTTTTTTGCTTGCTTTTTGCCTTGCCATTGCATGGGTATTTATAGGGTAAAAAACCCAACTACCTCGGTGCAAATTTTCTACCTCATTAAATGAGGTTCATGTACAATGGTTGAAATAACCATTGTAAATTTCCACAATGGCTGCTGTAGCTTGCTGTTGTAGCTTACAGCCTCTTGCAATAGGATGTGGAAAATGGGCTGGAACTAGAAGCTTCTGCCAACAATCTCCCCCTCCAGCCCCATGCGAGGAGATATAAATCTTGACTCCTTACTTGGTGTCCATCCCAGCCAACTTCTTGCAATATTCAAACTTTTCCCTGGGAAGAACTTTTGTCATCATATTAGCAACATTGTTGTTTGTGTGAATCTTTCTGAGTTGAAACTGCTTGTTCTCTGTCACCAAGCGCAACCAATGATATCTCAGATCTATATGTTTTGTTCGAGCATGGTACATAGTATTCTTGCTCAAATCTATAGCACTCTGGCTATCACAAAATACTACATGCTCTTTTTGCTTCAATCCCAATTCTTGAAGGAATCTTTTCATCCAAAGAATCTCTTTACCAGCTTCTGTAGCTGCAATGTATTCAGCTTCGGTTGTTGACAAGGCAACGCACTTCTGCAATTTTGATTGCCATGATACAGCTCCCCCTGCAAAAGTGAATAAATACCCTGAAATAGATTTTCTATTATCAAGGTCACCTGCCATGTCTGCATCTATGTATCCCTTCAGAATTGGTTCAGTCTGCCCAAAAGTCAAACAAAACTTGGTCGTACCTTTCAGATATTTAAAGATCCACTTAACAGCTTCCCAATGAATCTTGCCTGGATCAGACAAGAATCTACTCACAACAACAACAGCATGAGCAATGTCTGGCCATGTACATACCATTGCATACATCAGTGAACCGACTGCAGAAGAATAAGGAATAGATAACATTTTCTCCTTTTCTTCTTTGGTAGTTGGACAAGATCGTTTACTCAACTTGAAGTGATTTGCAAGAGGAGTGCTAACTGGCTTAGCATGTTTCATGTTGAACCTTTCAAGCATCCGTTCAACATACTTCTCCT